GATTGCAGTGCTGCACTATAGCTACCAGATAAGGCAGGAAGTGACCAGTGAGGGTTCCTCCATTATGGGTTGTAGACCTAACAGCCAGGAGTGCGTGTGTGTGTGTGACTATGTCTCGGAGGCAGTGGATAATCACGGAAACACTTCCACAAGTTCCCAGAAAATATCAGAAGGATGTGCCAGGATCTTTGGTCTGTGTTTTCCTAAGTCCTCAACTCTTCCCTTATAAGCTGGATCCTCTTGTGCAACTGGAGAGGATCCAGTGCTGAAATATTTGCCTCTTTTCAGGCATTATAAAACAGCTGTGTTTTAATTCTTTGAACACTTTGGTCACCTTAGCAGAGTCAGATAAACCAGCACACAAGGCCCAAGGCCACTCTGGACTCAACCCACAGACACGCAGACAGAGCCCAGTGCTAGACTCATGCCCGGCGGTCCAGGGTATACTCAGGTGCCCAGGGTCCAGGTAGGGACTCCAGGCCTCAGGCTACTCCTGAGCTCACAATTCACATCCTTCTCCCACAAAGGGAATATTTCCCATTGGCTCTAGATGCTGTATTCTCCGAGTGTTTGTCTGCTGAACTTCCCTGTGATGACAGATGACTGCCACAGCCATCCATCAATCCTCAAATGTCACCTTCTCTGTAAAGCATCTCTGATGACTATAAGGAATATTTCCCTGCTCGGTACTCCCACCATAATTAACCCACTACAAACATGGGTGTCTTTCTCCTCTGATAGTTCCTCGTGAGGAGAGACGATATCTGATTCATGTCTCCACCACCTCCCCTGACACCCCACTCTGTACACTTAGCAAGAATGGATGGATAGATGTTCAGATAGATGGATGGATGGATGGTCAGATGGACAGATGGACAAATGGATGGATGGATAAATGGGTTGGTCAATACATGGAATATGGATGAATTGCATGGATATATGGATGGATGGATGGATGATAATACAAGGTAGGTGATGGACTGACCATTGATTTTGGAAGAATGAATGATGGACTGAGGATATAATGTGGCTGGATGATTCACAGATGATGGATGAGTTGGAAATAGATGGATGAATAGTCGTGGACAGGTTGATATTAGACTGGTAAAAGGATATCAGTGAAATGGATGGATTAGTAGATAGATAGATGGATAATAAGATGGTAGATGAATGAATAGGTGGATGGATGGCTATCCTAGATTCACAATTGAGGCAGAGTTTCAGAAAATCTAGAAGATTAGGACACCACTGGGTTATAGTTTAGAGAGTTTCTAAATCAACCAAGATAAGTTGTGACATTTTTCTGAAATCTTTGTGCTTAATATCCCACCTGCCAAATTCAGGAGGGTGGCTACCCCTGGGAAGATGCAATGTTTAATTTCTTATAAATGCATGTGCAAACAAAAATGGCCAAACATTAAGTTTTGATAAAGCTGGAGGATTATTACACAATTTTTCATGACATTATTTTTTTTACTTTTTTTGACATTGATTACAATAAAAAACGAAAAATGAAATTCTCCATTGAGAGCCAGACATTTCCTGAGAGGTCAGAAATTATCCGAGGGAGTTTTTCTAAGGCAAGAGGACAGCCTCGGGCCATGACTACAGGCTGGGGGCACTAGCAGGGACCCACCTACCATTTTCTTTGCGGCTTCCAAGAGCTCCTCCTCTGTCTTCCGGCGCAGGCAGTGAACCATGACAGCCGAGGTGGTGGTTTTACACCCAGCAGCCACAGAAACTTTCTGCAAAGACCACAGGCGGCAAGTGCTCAAGAGCGATGTCCCTTCCCTCCGTCAAGGTAGAAGATGTGTTCTGTCCCCAGTCCAGTGTGTGAGGCCGCAAGGGGAGCAGAAAGTACTCCAGACCAGACGTGTGAGCTCTGGGCCCACAGAGTGCTGCCTCTGTGCCTGATCTGAGTTGTGACATGAGTCATAATTACACACTCCCTCTGTCTGTTACCTTCTCTCTGTTAAAATGGGTGTAATGATCTCAAAGCTGGATGTGTGGTGTGGAGGGGGTGTAAGAGCATGGAGCCCCAATACCACTGTCTGGTTTCCAAGCCCAGCTCCTGCACGTACTGGCCACTTGGCCTCAGGAAAACCACTTGCATTCTTTGTGCCTCAGTTTCTCCACCCTTCGATGGGCACAATGATGATCTCACCCACCTTACGAGCTAATACATGGGCAGAGCGTAGGAGGCTGCCAAGTCTCCCACACACTGAAACACGTGCAGAACTGCAGGAGGCCTGGGTGAGGTGATTCGCACCAAGGAACTTCAGAAAGTACCGAATGGGACTTAAACGGGAGCCTAAAGGCAAGCAGCGCGCGCCCATCCTGAGCCTGGATGGTGCTTCTCAGCGAGTGCGGCGCCTGCGGCACGGCCAAGAGTTTCCACCTGCACAGTCACGTGCTGGAGTCCTGAGCACCAGCCAGACGCGACTCTCCAGGGCAGGGCTCGGACGTTTGCATCAAATGGACAAACAGAAAACATCTGCGCTTTTGTGGGCCATGTGGTCTGTGTCGCAATTTCTAAACTCTGCTGTCCCAGTGAAATAAATGGGTGTCGCTGTGCTGCAATAAAACTCTATTTACAGACACTGAAATTTGACCTTCACATCATTTTCACGGATTGTGAAATATTATTTTTCTTTTGTTTGGTTTCTATTGATTAAAAATTAAAGAAAAATCATTCTTAGCTAAAAGATTATATATACGTAAGACCAGATTAGCCCTCCTCTATCCTCAGGCAACCTGCCCAGGCAGCCATTAATGCATGGAGAACCCATGACTCCAACCCAGAACCTCTTCTCATCTTAAAAAAAGTAAGAAGAAAACCGTCCTGAAGGAGAGGCTCCCCTGAGCCTGTCTTGGACACCGGGGGTGGTCTGTCCCACACACCATCACCCAGACTTTTCTGAGAGGCTGAGTTTGATGCACCAAGGGGGGCATCTCAGCAAAGCCGGGGCCCTGAGCCTCTCTCCTAAGTGATCTGGGATGGGGGTGGAGAGCTGCAAGTATAGACATGAGCGTTTTCCAAACAGAAGAAAACCTGACTACTTTCTGGAACCACAGGGGAGTTCCCAAGCCTGGGGCCAGATGGGCTGGTCGCAGGAACTGACAGCAAAGCTGGGCCAGAGAGGAAGGCGCTGAGGGACCCAAGGCAGGCTCCGTGGTGGCAGGGTCATGGGGAGTGCGCAGGGTCCCAGAGCCTGGACAGTGTCTGCTGCAGAATCCCTGCTCAGAACTTACTTGGTGAATGAACCGACAGGAGGAGGGAGAAGAGGAGAAGAGGGAGGGAGGGGGAGAGAAGAGCAAGGGTCAGAGAGACCTGGATTCCCTTCACTTTGCAATTTCTGGCTCCTGTTTGTTCACAAAGCCCAGCCTCACCCCTGCCACCTCTGCTCCCTTGGAAAATAAATTCCCTTCCTTGACTCAAGCCTGCCCCAGTGGCCACCTGTTGCTTATAACCAATGAATTCTGAAAAAAATTCTAAAAAAAATCCTTGGCGTCTCCATTTCCTCCCCACCTGCTAATCAGCCCCTGAAGTCTGAGCTGCCCCAAACCAGCTCCCTCAGCCCCACCCAAACCCTGCACCCCTCTGGGTCCAGTGGGACCTGCTCAGCAGCGCCACTGTGTGGTGACTCCTTCCTCTCTTCCCACTGCTCTCCAGATAAACACAAACTCCCCCCCAGGGTCCTGTGCAACAAGGCCCCTGCCACTGTCCCTACCCTCAGTGCACACCAAGCTCCCCCTGATCTCTGCTCTGGCCACATCAGCCTTCTCTCACTCTCAAGATGCTTCTGCCACAGGACATTTGCACATGCTGTGTCCTCTCCCTGGAAGACTCACTGCTCAGCAAGCAAATTATTGCTCAGCTTTCTGACACTGCTTATTGATCTCTTTTTAAAGAAGCTTTTCCTGATAACCTCTGAGGGGTGTGGTCATGGGCGGTGCCTGCGCTGGAAGTACGAGTGGCAAACTTCAGTCAGAGCTTTGCACTGAACCCCTGTGGACCTTAGCATGTCGCTTCCACATTCTGTACCAGTTTGTTTGACTATAAACTTGGAAGGTTTTGCAAGGTGTCTCCTTGAATTTCCTGCTCAGCCACTCTCACTTCAGGGATTCTTCGGTAGTTCCCCTGAATCCCACAGCAGGAATGACCCATGAGGATGCCAAGAGCACAGAGTCAAGGGTGTGGGAGCATCCTATGAGATACCTACCTCCGCCAGGGGCTTGAGGACGTCCCTGTTCCGGATCAGGGCATGACTGAGGGCTATACCACTCTGAGAAATGGCCCGGTGGAAGAGGTTCTTGGCCAGAGGAGATAAAACCTGGCGAGGAGAGGACAGGAGGACAGTTCATGCTCAGGGGAGGGTCCACCCACAGCTCTGCCCTGGACAGGTCCCAGGGAGACCTTGGGTCTCAGAGGACACCAGGGCTCCTCTCCTGGCCTGGCCTGTTTCCCAGCCTCACCCTGGGCCCTGCCTCCCCCAGACAACCTCAGCGGGACGGAGCCGGAGCACAGAGCCGGGGACGGAACAGGAGAGTGTGGCACGCAGAGCTCACTGCAGTCAAAAGCACCAGAAAGGCAGCTTGGCAACTCCCAGCCGCACGTTCTGGGTCAGCATGTCCATTACTCAGAAGAAAAATGACCAGGGAGGCACACAAAGACTTCTGAGATGCCCGTGCTGGTTATAACAGTAAAAATTGGAAAGAATCCAAGGTTCCAATATCATGAGATTGAGTAAATAAACAATTTTTAATTCCTACCACGGAATACTATGCAATTATAAAAGATATTATAATGTTATACTGTATTATACTTCCATTTATGTTAATTAACATCCTTATTTTACTTAAGGAAAGTTTATTGATAGAAGAAAAAGATGAAAAGTGACAGAGTGAATCATGAAGAAAAGACTAGAAAAATACATGTAGAACGTCCACAGTGAGGACCCTGGAGAGTCTGACTGGGGATGGCTTTTTTCTTTATTGGGCTGTACTTTTCCTTTATCTCTAATTAAAAAAAAAAAAATACAAGGATTTTCCTCTGAGTCTTCAACTGGGAAACCAACACATGATTGACAAACACAGCAATGGGCTGACCCTCTGCTCAACTCTGAGGCACCTGGAGGGCTCCTCACAGCTCCCAGCACCTTCCAACCTGGTTTCCCATCCCAGCGCCCTCAGCATCTGCTCCAGCCCCATTCCCCACACTGGTAGGACATCTCGCGCCCCCAGGCTGTGTCTGTGTCCCACATCCCCTGTCCCGTCCCTCCCCATCCTGTGCTCCATCCCTCCTTCCTTCCCCACCTCCCCCAGCCCACCTGGTCCCTCAGTCCCACAGACGGCTGCCTCCCTCTTGGGTGTGGGGGGCCATCAGACCACCTCAGCAGAGACTCTGGCCTGATCTTAGTGCTCGTGTCCCCTCAACACGTAGATCTGGCTTCAAACCAAACGATGAGGTCTGTCCAGTTCTTTTCCTTGCTTCCACATGTTCATAATTTATACCCATCCCTACCGCCCAGGGGAAGTGAGCTGAGTCCAGGTGTTAAAATAAGCAGGAAGGAGAGAGACAGCTCAACCAAGTTGGCAGAGGAGGACAGCCACCAGTGCAGGCTGGGGCCAGAGATTCTTATGGCCCCAGGACATAAGGCTGAGCTGTGAGCTTCCTGGGAGCCAAGGAGAGTTTGGATGTTAGCTCTCTACTGCCTGGTCCCGGGCAATGAGTAGGGTCTGTCCCCAATCCAGGCCTTGTAAGCAAAGGTGCCCGTGGCTGGGTGGGCTGGTCTCCAAGAGGTCCCATCAGCTGCCACATCAGCCTGGGGGTGGGGCCTGGTGCCAGGAACACTTACAAGAACAGAGACACTGTCACCTCCCGCCGACTCTCCAAAGATGGTCACAGAGCCTGGGTTCCCTCCAAAGTTGGCGATGTTGTCCTGCACCCAGCGCAGCGCGGCCACCTGGTCCAAGTGACCCCAGTTCCCCTGGCTGTGTTCATCCCCTGTGCTGTGAGTAAGAGAACAGGTTGGGGTGGGCAGCACAGACGCCATGGCAGCGCTGTCAAGACTAGAAATGGGGCTGGGGGCTCTCAGTGAGCCTTCTAGAATAAGGGTGGGCTTCCACACCCCTGACACAGGGGTCTTCCCCTCCCTTCCATTCCCCAGCGTGTGCTGCTGTAGGGCTTTACATTCACTCATCTGGATAGGATTTACTGAGCATTTACTATGTGCCCAACACTGTACTAGGAGCTAGAGCACAACTGAGAACAAAACAGGGAAAATTTCTTACACTGAGCTCATAGTACAGACCATAAACAAACAGACAGACAAACACAGAATAAAATATCAGGGAGTGAAAGTGCATTGAGGGAAAATAAAATGGAGTGAGGGAAAAGCGAGAGTCGGGCAGTGGGTGCTACTTCAGATCATATGAACAGGGAAGGCCTCTTGGACGCTGTGGCATTTGAGTAGAAGCCTGAATGAAACGAGCACGTGAGCCTTGCAAATATCCAAAGAAGAAAATTCCAGGTAGAAGAAACAGCAAGTGCAAAGGCCCTGGGGCCCAGTGAGCACTGTGGGCACGTAGGAAGTGCAGCTGGAGAGGGCCCTGTGGGCCTGGGAAAGCACGTTGCGTGTCATCCCAGGTCACGTGGGAAGCCCTGCAGGTTTGTGCAGAGGAATCACATGACTCAATCTATGCCTGATCTGATCTCTCTGGCTGCTGTGTGCATCAGCCGCAGCACAAAAGTCGCAGAGTGACCAAGTGAGTGGCTGTGGCAATAATCCAGGCCAGAGCCAGACAGGCTGATTAGGGTGAAGCAAGGGAGGGCGAGAAACAGCGGGACTCTGAGTACATGTCATGGTGGAGCAGGAGGATCCGCTGCCGCCTGCGTGCGGGCTGTGGGGCAAAGAGAAGAGTCCAGGCTGCCCTCGCGGCTTTACCCCGGGCAACTGGGAGGACGGAGCCTCCGGCAGCTGAGCGGGGGGCGCTGGGAGAAGCAGGGGCGCCTCTGCCTGGGGAGGGCGTGGGAGTCCTGGCTCGGTGATTCCATGTGAAGAGTGAGGGGCCTCAGACAGCCCGTGGGGACAGAGGAGGTAGCTAGAGAAGGTGTCTGGGATTGAAGGAGAGGTGGCCAAACCACGGGGCTCTCACAGTTCCCTGGCGATCACTGGGAACTAGTGCAGAGGGAGAGGGAGACACGCAGAGTTCAAACGACAGGGACGAGGAGGGACCCACAAAGGGGCTGAGAAGGAGCAGCCTGTGGGGTGGGAGGTGGCCGGGAGCCAAGGAAAGGGAGCATGTCATGGAGGAGTGAGTGGCCCTGTGTGGCTGCTGCTGAGAGGTCAGGGAAGGCTGGGCCGAGGGCAGGTAGAGGTCATGGGGACCTTGACAGGAACAGCCGGGCGTCGTCGTCATGGGAAAACCTGGCTGGCGTGAGTGGAGGACAGACAGGGAGGAGGGGACTGCAGACAGGACACGTAGCAGCTTTCCTGTAACGGGCAGCAGAGACGCGGCCGTGGGCGAGAGGGATGTGGAGTCTCAAGGAAGGCGCAACCTCGGGGACTGGCCCGGGACGCCCACTGGCAGGCCCAGCAGAGCCCGTCCTCCTGCTCCCTGGGTCTTCCCAGCAGTGAGCGGATC